ACCACTTGGCAAACTTTGAATACCAACCGCTTCATAACCAGAGCTGTCTTGAACCCGGTAACCCAACGACTAATGTAAAGTCATCAAGGGAAGGACTTCCGAGAACTTCCATTGTCTTCAGACTACAAGACCTTTCTAATCCATCGGTTTCCGCCAATACATTCTCAATAATTCGACAACATACAATTGACTTGTCATATTTCGATTCTGCTATCGAGTCAAGGAGCAATTCTCGGGACTTAGGTGGAAAAAGCCATCTGTAGAATAGTTTTTATCATCGACATCGGCATCGAAACGAACGAGCAACTATCTAAAATGCTCAAGGCATGTTTTCAAGGCCGCCGAGATAAGTACGTCACTCGTATGAAGCTTCTGTAGAGTCGCCCATTCCTAAATCTCCTCAAGAACTTTTCCTGCTGTTTTCATATCTCGTGTCTAAGAATGCAATCAAAGCAATTAAAAGTGCCCCTACAAAATTCGAGTCAGTAAATTCGCTGGATTATGTTTGAAAATCATACCAATAGTAACGATATAGCTCCTGATCGTGAACGCTGTTTGAACAGAAGTTTGTACATCGGCCTTGTATACACAAACTGCAACCACTGCCCAGATTATAGAGGGGAGCAGGCTGAAGGCAACAGGTGTGGCAACTATATAACCAGCAGCTTCTGTGCTTAGTGTTTCAACCAGATTGAGTGTCCGTTCGCGCTTTCTTCCAAATATGGCTATGACTTCTTCGCTGTTAAGCTATTGCACCTTTTCGTTAGAGGTGAGCTCGCTCGGATTTGGGAATTAGTAGATCATTCTGTTACTTGATGTGTAACGGCCTAGTTGAAGAGTGTCGCTCTTGATCCGGTAGCCATGTTTCCCTCTAGCTAGAGGATGAATTTAGCAAACGATAAAAAGTATAGTAGCATGGCCTCACGCCAACGATATCGATACGATCCAAGCAATAGAACCCTACGATGCCAAACAGTCTCGGTGTGCTTTTTGCGGGTAGTTCTGCCGAAAAGCCATGCTATCACCAAAGCAGAATAGATTAACCAGAAAAGTCTCCACGTTGAGGTTTTGACGGCGAGGAAGAGCGCAATCCTCTGTCCCAGAATTGGTCAACTGGTTAATGATTTTAACGCAAGTTGACTCGTAATGGAAATTTCGTAATACGTGGTATTGATATCGATGGCAAGCAAGAGCAGAAAATTATGAGAAAGAGACGTACGAGGGCCACTTCATGACTAGGTTTATCAGTTCCCACTCTCTCAGTTAAAGATTTTCCATGCCCTTCATTCCGACTTCCGCACCTGACGCGAGATACTATACCATGGACCTTTGATTATCCAAATAAGAAAAACTACAGGCCCATACAAAAAGAATTGGAACCTCCAGGACTGCACAATCCATCTCATTGCGACCACGTTTATCCATAGTCCCTTTTCACTAGCGAGGAATACATCAAATACTGGTAAGGGTATTGGTTTCCCAATATCTGCTTTTGCGTCGTCAAAAGCGGAAGAGGTGAAAGGCATTATAAGTCTTTTATTCCCCTTTTTGTGTTTATTGAAAGTGTTGTCCTTTGCTTGTACAGAAGGCGCGGTTTTGACAAGTCAGGAAAATATCAGCCGCAAACCATTTGTGTCATTTTGCTTTTGGTGGCTTGAAATCGTGCCATGCCTGCATCAAGACCTTGGCAAACACTCGTGATGGGCGACAATTGGCTATTGGCACTATGCAGAAAACCATGTGTAGGTGCGAAGTGGAGAAATCGAAATCTTTCAATTGTGATGCTATCTGGGTCTCTGTGGCCGATATGTCTATGTACGACAGAACTATTCTTGACTTCTAGCGAAGTTGAGGTAGGTCTCCCTTGAGGTGGGCCCTGTGGCTATGAACCCCATCTCGAGGCATTAACAAGACGGTCATGCCACTGTTGGTCGATCGACCGAAGGCATCATCCGACTTTCCTAACACCACGAGAGGTGATATCAACCAAGAATACTTACTGTATGACATCTATCTTTTTGATGAACTCTTATGTCCCCACGCGGAAGTGCACATTGGTTGTGCGTGTACCCGAGGAGTGAACCTAGAACTCACAAAGATACCGAGCGTGGTTCGCTTGTAGGGAGATTCGACTTCATGATTGCGGTTTCGCCAGCTTGCGGAAACGTCCTTGCAGCCAGCATCGGTACATTTTCAGTTGTTTAGCCCGATTGACGAGGAGCCTCCTGTCCACACCCATATCCACAACTTCAAAGAGGGGAATAGAGGAATCCTCGCAGGGCTTCGCCGTCCAAATATCAACAAGTTCATCCTTTTCGAAGAAGTAGACTCTCGTGCCATCTCCTCGAATGTAGAAGTTCTCTTCCAGGTAGCGTCCTTTCTTGAAGCGGACTTGAGCCAGGTCGCCGCGGCCGTAATCTCGAAATAGGACTTCGCCGCCTGGCTTGAGGACTTTGAAAATGTTTTGAACAGCTTGATTCCATTGCGATGGCGAAAGAGCCGAGAATATAAATATCATCAAGACTACATCGACACTTTCTTCCGCCAGTCCAGGTGGAAGCTCTTCTGAAGCTGCATCCCAGACATCCGCTTGTATGTTTTTGGTATCATACGCCTCATTTGCACGTATTACCTCTACAGCTTTCTTAGAGAAATCGCACGCGTGTATTTTCAAATCTATATTTGAATTGTGGGCAAGAATAGGGAATGCAGTGTTGCCAGCGCCTGCACCGACTTCGAGGAGTGTGACTGGACCCGCATCGGGCTTGGTAATCTCGGAGAGGACAGGAAATTCTTGTTGGAGCCACTTGCGATCTTTGAAGAAATTTGCAGTGTTATTCTTATAGAAATTATTCCACCATTTCGCCGGATCACCGTTGAATCTGCCTTTTCAATTGTCAGCGATGATCAGATATCATGGTCAAAAAGTGAAAAATAGAAAGGTTGCATATCAGATAGGAGCGAAAGACATTTGCTAATTTGTTTCATTCATGGGCTAGTAGACCTCAGATGAACTATGCGTAATTTTGAATCATCAGAATGCAAGAAGGCCATTGTATGTGGCAGAGGGGGACAAAGGAGTGATTGCTTACTTTTGTCGAATTCCGAAACGGGTGCTTCTCGTTGCTTTGCGTATTGCTGTTCTGCATATTCTTTGTAAGTATCGTCAGTCTCTACGTGATCCCACGCATTGAACTCGAAAACGTTGTCCTTTTCGCTGAGGAAGCGGGACCCGAACTGGAACGGGTCACTTCTCTTCAGGTTGTTCTCCGGGTCGTGCGACCTGTGGGGTAGAATCGATTGCGACACATCAGTCTCTGCAGCTGGGTCCTTGACAGATAAATTAGAGAGAAGCTGGGTTTGAACAGCCTCAGTACTACTTGTACTCGACTCCATTGCTTATATTGTAAGACGTGGAGGAGGCGCAAGGAAGCATGGAACTTTGTGGTTCTGGAAGAAAAATGTGCGAGGAGGAAAATGGAGTTTACGACGCAAAAAATTATGTGTAGTTGACAAAGGCGGTGAAACTTTCTGCCGGACCCTAGCCATGTAGGGTTCATTTTGAATTCCTCGGCCGTCAACTATCATGACCTCACGATTGTCTAGACCCCAGGTCCTTTTGATTTTCGGCCGGCCGTTTGAGAATAATGATTTGTCCATAATATAACTGTCTTTTCCTCATTTTGTTTTGAAACCTGCCTCAATTGACCTCCGAGTCCCCATTCAGCATGTCAAAAGTTATGCTCCGAACTTTACCACCTCAAATTACCTTCCGTCCAATACGGTCACAAGCTTCACGAAGCTTTTTAACGTCTCCGGCACAAAGTCTTTCGGCTACTCGAATCCTACCGTACAAATCCAGCAGTCTTTACACCCTCATCGCAGATGTCGATAGCTATTCAAGCTTCCTACCTTACTGTCAAGAATCGAAAGTCACAAAATGGTCGGCGCCAGATAAAAATGGAAAAAGGTGGCCTTCAGAAGCAGATCTGAAAGTAGGGTGGGGAGGAATCCAAGAGACCTTTACCTCGAGACTCTTCTGCGTACCTGGATCTGTTGTGGAAGCTTTAGGAGGAGAAGCAACTACAACCCTCTCGAAAGAGGACTTGGAACATCATTCGGCGTCGCTGAACAACCCTGCTGTTGCGAATAGCATATTTCAATCGATAAATACACGATGGACAGTCAAGCCATTCCATTACAAACCTCCCACCGGTCGACCGCAAACCGAGAAGACGGTACATCCTGCTAGGGATCAGACAGAAGTACATTTGTCAATCGACTTTCAGTTCGGAAATCCAATATATGCGGCGTTGAGCCAAGCCGTTGCACCACAGGTGGCAGGCATAATGATTGAAGCCTTCGAGGTTCGAGCAAGGAAGTTGTTGGACGGACCAGGTGCACGCGTATCCGAAAACGACGCACCAGCGACTCCGAAGCAAGTCGGTCATGTATAATATGGCATATATATGGGCGCGGGAGACATTGGCCTAGGAATATAGAGAGCGTTCTGCTATAGGATAGACAGCTTACGGAACATGTACAATACCTGTATAAAGCGGCGTTCTCGGGTAAAAGAGCGGATATCGAGAGGCGGGAAGTTACAAGTCCTCGGAAGATTTGTGTTGTCTGAATTGTACAGTAATACAGAGGCAGAGACTAATGCCAACAGGTGGCTAAGCATTTAACCCTCTGTTGTAATAGTGACCTGCTGACACTCAACACTTGAGAGTACTGAGAGAACTGCGTGTCCGTGAGTGCAACACCCAATGTCGAGAATGATGAAAATTATCGCAAGACGAAATCAAGATCGTATTCTATTCGTCATGGTTGAAAGCAAAATTCATAGATACTAAACCAATGAAGTCTTCTTGCCCCTTTCAGGCCAAAAGTGAACCTCCTACTATTGTCACCTGACGTTCCCCACATCTCTAGTCCGCTTGACACCAAGCGCCGCCACCACCGCAAATTTCAAATTGGGAAAAAAAAATATATTTGGATGCAACCGCCGTGAATCGAACACGAACCTCCACCTGACATTTGTATGTTGATACATTGGAAGGGTGGAATCCTAACCATTGGACCACGGAAGCGAGTTTTGCTTGCTTGTTGAGGCATTTGTGCTTATTTGATTATATAGAGGATCAGGCTAGAAGTGGGGAAAGAAGAAGGTCAGGTGGGGTTTCGGAGGATGGGAGGGAGATGTGCCGATTGGTTGGGAAGTCGAAATGTGATGGACACTTCAACTCACAAAGACCAACGATATCTCGAGTCAGAGTTCCAAAGTTCGTACCAGTATATCAATATTATAGTTTCCTTTTTCATACATCAATTTGAAGAAAAGGACTTTCTTACTAAATTTCCGTGGTTGAGGTATTCCTTCTTGAATGCCATTATCGGCCCTTCTCTCCGGACTGAGAACAATCGAAACGGACAAGCAATTTTCAAGCAGGAATGTTTTCCCTCTTGCTAAAACATTTAACTTGCTTGATGGTATTAGTGATCGACAATTTTATGCTGCAAGTGTATCTATTGCCTTCACGTGCTTCTCGAATCTACACATGTCAGAAAGCGGATTTTAAAAGTAGACTATCTTTACCACTTAATTTCGAGCTTTTCATCTCAACTCCGGGTGGCCACCTGAAAAGATCGTATGACATTGAAGTGTATCACGTGAACACGTAACGCCGAGTCTGACTTGGGGCTGAGCAGAGTGTTTGTTCCAGAAGTGTGAGAAGCGAGGAAGGAGCATTCTGGTGATGCATCTTTTCAGGTAAGGCTTAGAAAATTTACATGTAGAGTTCTAATACCCTACGAAAGCCACTATTGGTAATGGAGATATAAGTGCGATTCGGTCTTTAGGAAGGAACAAGCGAGTTGGAATGAGAAGCACGAGGCAGTTGATAATACAGCTAGTATTCAGACGAATGCGAGAAAGAGCCTTGAAGTCAGAGCAGGCTTTGCGCTCTCGGTGCACAAGCATCTGCGATTTATATTGAAGTCATGGCGCATACGCTGCTTGATGTTACTAGTGTTATCCCCTGCTAGAATATGGTCCTCCACAAGCTTCACTGTCATGAAAAGCTGTACTTAATAGGTCCCTCAACAAGAAGACTCTGGTAATGCAACATACATTTTGCATTGCAGACCAAGAGTTACAGAAGTGGTTGCACTAAGTGCAAGCTATAGCATCGATACCCGTGCGTCTAACTCGTCGCGTGAAGAGAGTCATTTATTTCCGAAGGAGTTCCCGAGGCTGGAAGGTTAACCACCCTGCCAAAGGTATTCGACACCTGTATTCGCCCCGTGCTATCCTTGTGGATCTGTTCCTCTACAGGGGCGGGATTGTCCCTGGCTGGTGTTCATCGTCGATCCAGACTATCTGGTAGGGTGAGACCGGCCATTGATGAAGTTCCGTCCCTCAAAATAGACGAAGGTCGCTTTCCATGTAGTTGACTTGGTAGGTTAGTGACTCCAACAGCGGATTTCAAAGCGAGGAGGTAATCGGATGTCAGAACTCATCTGCCACGGTGTTGTGTCTGCCCCAGGGGAGATACAGGGGGAATTTGTCTAGTGTGCGTGACTTGTGCTTGGTTCAACGGAGCGCCTGGTACGACACTTCTTTCCCAGCAAACCAAGACTTTACCCAGTTCAACCCTACTTCGGGTGGAACTCCATATTCCCAGAAGCCTACTTCGATATCGTACTCCACAAGATAGTACGCTTTGTCTATATTTCTGAACTTTCGAAAGTGCAGATCTGGATTTTTATCAGAAAGGTCTGTGGCAACAGTTGCAACAAGTCTCAGACCTATTGTGCACATTAGCATCCCACTCTCATTTTACGAGTAGATAGTAATATGTACCCAGCTCATGATCCCCGACAGACATGTACCAACCAGCTTGTAGGTTGTCCCTAGCGTAACGATCTTTATCGTAGGCCCAAGCGACATTCGAAAGTGACTCATTAGTCGTGCTGTATATTTGATCCACTAGCTCTAGTGGGTCACCAGGATATACAAATTTGACCATGTTAATCTTTATGCTGCTTTCTGTCAATCTGCCTTTCACACCGAGACGTTGGTCTTTCTGTAGTATTATGTGTGCATTGTTCACACACCAGTCCTCTCCATCCAATAACCGCCGAGTCTCAGGATAATATCGAGAGTGGTGCGACCGGAACGGCACAGGCTTTCTGATTACCCAAGTAAGTGGTGCGATCCATACGTCACCTGAAAAGGTGCTTTGGTTTAGAGTAACTCTTGGAGACGAAAGGTCATGGTTATAAGCTAGCTGGGAAGTTCTGTGGGATATATATTAGCAATTGTCGTGGCCATATTTGAATTGATACATACACGGACAAGTGGTTATCGGATGTCGTTGAACGTGGCGGCGCCATATCGTGCGATGCACCTCGACTCAAACTTAAAAGTCCAGCAGTCACAGCACCTTTGGCTTTGGCGGACGCGCTATCCTTAGGTCGGACGACCTTGTTCCACAAATGAGTAGGTACGTGGTGCTTTATGGTTGCAAAGAGGTAATCGGACGTCGCCAAAGTTCCTGCAACCAAGATATTCTATAATGTGAGTGCTTACTTTCAGAAATAGGGTTAGTTACACGTACTTGTAAGTATGATCCGGAGCTCTCGGCTTTCGTTGTAATGTCAGATATTTGGAGGTCTATCATTTCGAGGATACGATCAATGACAGGCTGAAAACATGATAGGACTTCCTCATTTGTGAAGATAATATATCCTTCTTCGATGCCAGCATCTGGAAAATCAGTCTCAATACCGACATCCACTGCCCACCTTTTTCCATTATTCTTGAAATCATTTTTGATCCTTTTATCGAAATCCATGAAGCATTTTGCGTAGACACGCCCCGAGGTTTTCGAATCCTGCGGCAAATGCATCAATTTGATTCTTTCGCGTAGCACGTTGCTGAAGTTCCGATTGAGCGCAGTGGACCTACCAGAGTTAGCACACCTTTCTCCTTTCCATTGCTCGTGATAAGCGTACCCGCAAGAATCTCTGGCCGGCAGCGTATAATCCTCTATCGAGACAGGACTCTCGTGACGACACGCAAATGCGACAACTTCGCAAGTGCTGGACCCACAGTCTGCCACAAGGACAACGTCGTTGATTTGGAGATTGAAAAGACCAGATTTGAGACTGAACTGTACTATTGCTTCGGCGTCTGATATAAGCCTGCAATGATCGTCATCAACATCCTCGATATATCCGGCTCTAAGGATAGCCTCATAGAGACGAGTCTCAATTTGTAAATTCCAGCTGTGGGGTTTCGTAAAGTAGTAAAGTATACTGCCAGGATCGTTGGTGACAGCATCGCCGAATGCATTTCTAAGCTGTGCTACAACCCCTTCACGAACCATACGAAGAAAATCATTGACCACGTCCGTGGCAGACTTGCCAGATGGGAGTGGAGGAAGGCTGACTACATCGGATACTTGAGTATCACCGAGCATAAGGTGCTGTTTGAAATGTTCAACTTTTTGGATGCCTGGCTTTGGGTATCCTGTTGGTGACAGTGCAATGGCTGAATCGAAACCCCAGCCTATGATCTTCGTTTCCTCGTCGTAGTACAATACATTTGGTATCTGAAAAGTGTCAAAATTTACGTGAAAGAGGGCGTACTTGAACATAATTACCTGTATATTTGTGTTTCCATGGGCCCGCCATATCATCATCAATTCCTCCCTAGCTTCTAGCCTATCAGGCCGGAAAGTCCTTCCGATGAAGGCATATGCGACAGAGGTACTTGACGAGCCAAACTCAATACCAATGACGATTTGCACACGCTCGAGATATGATTTCTTAGAAATGGCTGGTGAAGCCTTTATCGATGTTGTGGAAAATAGCGGAGCCGCAGTATGAGGCGGTTTGTTCTGAGTCGATACTGTACCATCTGCGGTATTCTCCGAGGGAAGTTTAGATGCTGCTCCTTCACCTTGTGCTGAGGATGGGTTAATATTCTCCACAGATGCATGGTCGTCTGTTGTCTGTGACCAGGAACTGCGAGCATTTACATTTCCATGATGTACAGCAGGTCCGTTCTTGTTGCGTGTTGCGGTGATATGAGACGGACTTGATGTTCTCGCAACGTGTTCCCATTTCCGTGTAGGAACCCCAGCCTGTTTGGCGACGTATTTCTCTTCCCGCGTAGATAAACCAGCCAGTCTAGTAACATTTTCCTGTTCAGGGGTAGATAGCTTCAAGGCAATGTCACTAGCTGGAATTGGCAACCCCATCGGGATTCTAGAACTTGGATTTGCAAGCATGTCTGATGGATTCGATTGGCGGGGAGCAAGCTTAGAAGAGGCTAAATATATCATGCTTGTTGGGTTTTGAACCTCCCCAGGAAGAAAAACGTGCCGTAGAGGAATGTTTTCAGCAAAGATAACTTGTGCTTGTCCGAGTGGCTCTTGGATATCAAAATGGAAATCCACGGGAAGAAAACTCTTACAGACTTCTGATTCGGTAGTATCGCCGTTGACATTATATATATGCGCTAGAAGGGCCATAGATTCGAAGTATGGCGCGCTTGTTTTTCCTGAGATGCGACCATGCCCCCATGCAGCTCGTTTGCAATACTTCACTGAAGTGACATAATCTTTCTGTTCCAGGTATACCATTGCGAGTGCTTGTAAGGCTAGGAAGATCGTACTGTCGGCTCTTTTCTTAGCCATCGCCATGGGTACAAGTATAGATTCTGCTTCCGCCCACTTGGCTTGGCAGCCATATACAAAGGCTAAAACCAGGTTTGTCGCTATACTCCTGCTTGGGTCTAAATTCCCATCGTTGCTGCGATCAACCACTTTTTTTAAGAAGGCCTCAGCCTTGGGATATTCCTTTCGTTCAAGACTACTAATTGCAAGTTCCTCAAGCCTTCTAGTAAAGTTGCCCTCAATGTCGGACTCTGCGTCGGAGTCATCTGACGCAGGAGTTATAGAATGTTCTGCGATGGTAGTCTGGGGGGAACGAATTGGCCTGGGCGGTTCATACCCGGGTGCTTCCCCTTCATCGATAGTGGGAGGTGGAATCCAGTTTCGAATATCCACAAGTTGCTCCTCGT